CGCGAGAGTAGTGGTGGTGGGAGGGTGGGGAAAGGGTGGGGGGAGGGGGTGAGTGGAAGAGGCTCTAATAGCAAAAGCAGTTCAGTCCTTTGTTAATAATTAAAAAATCCATGTTTAACCCTCCTCTTGAGGGTCAAAAGGTTATCAGACACTTACTCTTCGCACGTCAGCGGAAAGTACATTTCATGGTCCTTTCAATAAAGGGATCAAAATGGTAGGTCAGCGCTGAAACAACAAAGTTTTGCACTCGGTCCGTTAGACCATGTCCTCAGAAAATGTCTGATATCTGACCTTTCCCCCCCACTGCCCTTTGACCTCCAATTTCGCGCTGGTGATGGGGTTCCTCCCCATCACACTATACATCGAATATTACGAGCGTAGGTCGAGCCGTTGAGATTTTTCCCGCAATTCCGAATTTCCTCCTATACCTTAAGTTAAGGGGAAAATATTCCCCCTCCATTGACACATCTGAACCTTTGACCCTTGACTCCCAAATTTGACATCCCGAGTCCTTTTCGCGATCCCCCCCCCCGACGTCCGCAATATCAAGACCGTACGTCAAGCGGTTAAGATTTGTGCCGTAAATGTTGACACAAGGACGGACGGACGGCCAAACGGACGGACGGACATTCATGCGATTCTACAAGCTGCATCCGACTTCGTCGGCTGAGCTAAAAACGAAGCATACATTAATATTAATAATCTATTTCATATACTGTTGATGCTGATCTATATATAGGTACATAATGTACCTAACAGAAAGACAACAGAAAGCAGGTATGTGTACGCACACATTTCTAACTTCCATGACAAGTTACCAAGTGAATACGTCACTGTAAATAGTAAAAGTAAAAAAAAATATTTCCACTTTTTCACAGAATGTAAGTAATTCTGTTCACTTTTTATGGTTACATTGCTGCATTATACTTCCTATTTTACTATATTGTTTGATGTAAGCATACACTCGCGACTCATACATAGCCCATAGCAAGCAATTAAAAATTTAATGTCAGAATCATAATATCAAATCGTCCAGGTTTTTTGGATTTTTAACTAGTTGAGAAACAATCTTATCAGGTAAGAATTTGACGGTGCATTTAGTCCCATTAGTACTTACTTCTAATGTAAAAAAAAATGGCAACAAACATTTTACAAATATACACCATAGAAAATTCGTGACGTAGTCAATTTAATTGCAATTTTCAACATGCCAATACATTTTTTCTTGGCATTATATATATATCTATAGGGTATAAGGTATAAAAGCATCGAAAGACAAGATAAATGAGCAGCATGGCACATGGACATTTGGGTAGCCGTAGAAGGAAGCGAGAGGGTATATATATATATGTGTATATATCTGTGTGCTTGAGTATGTTTGTATGTCTACGCATTCGTACACCTACAATTGTGATTATGGTCAGAGGTGATTTCCTGATTATGAGGAAATTTTTAATAACAGTATGCACAATAGGTACATAACACATGCATAAGAATTCAGCTCCATTGTTGTACTGATGACAGTAAAGAGTATTCTCAACACCTAAACTAGCCCATAAACGCTTCGAAGCAGTAGTATCTGCAGTTACCCTAATCCAGAGATGCCAACACATATTTGAAGCAATCTGTAGTTTCTGGCCATCAAATTAGTAGTTCGAGGGTCACGTAGTGACCTGAGTTTGCTAGGGGGTCCGGCATGCTGGCCATCAAATTAGTAGTTCGAGGGTCACGTAGTGACCTGAGTTTGCTAAGGGGTCCGGCATGCTGGCCATCAAATTAGTAGTTCGAGGATCACGTAGTGATCCGAGTTTGCTAAGGGGTCCGGCATGCTGGCCATCAAATTAGTAGTTTGAGGGTCACGTAGTGACCCGAGTTTGCTAGGGGGTCCGGCAATGCCACCCCCCGGAAAATTTTTTGATTCTGAAATGCAATTTCCTGCATTCTGAGGGTAAAAAATGACAATAAATTTAACAAAGAAAAAAAAATTTCCATCACAGTGAAATTCGTAGTTTGATACAAACTGGTTGTAGTGGTCCAAAAGGAATAGAAATTCGTATAAAATACGAATAAATCGTAGTGGTTGGCATCTCTGCTAATCATGCTTGAGACTGGACTGCAGTAACAGATAGCACATTTGGATATATTGAAAGTAGACTTCCGTCAAAAAGCCACAATCGATTAAATAAACGTTTTCTAGATTCAGGGCACTTAATCACCATCAATTGACATGATATCCCAGGCATAGATACTCGGCTTTTGCATATATATAAGAACACTGAGACTACCCGTTTTAAAACAGAAAAATTGTGTGCCATTAACACTAGCATGTACACACAGTATATTTATGTAGCATACAGTACCTGGAAACAATTGGGAGCTGGTATTCCTGTCATTTCCACCCTATTTCTAGTGTACTTGCTATAAGGTATAAAGATGGTTAAATATGTAATGTAGTAATTACTAAATTGCTGTTGCTGCACAGCAACACTATACTACAGCTAAGTATCGACAAATTTATTATAATAATGATAACTAGCATATTTGCAATGAAGATTATAGTCTTTACATATATAATTTTTGTAAAAAAAAATTACAATGTACTCTCCAAGTTGAAATAATAAATTGTGCATAAATATAATTACTCTTCATTTTCCATGTAAAACTTGTATTTATAATATAAGTGGTTAGTAATATATATATATATATATATGCTAGCTGAGCCACTGAGCCATTTACTACTCATGTTCCTTGGGTCTCGAACCACATGTTATACAATGGAAGCAAAAGAAGGAAAAGAGGATCATCATTATGAAAATTTGCACTGCGTGCATTCCTTCTGGAACACATGACCTCATGATTGATGTAATGTAACTGATTGCAATGGACATGTCTATAATTTTGCAATTCAGGAATATTCTCTATAATATGAAGTTTGGGAATATGCTGCTGAGCTATTGCTTTAGATTCTTTGAAGTGTTTGTTTTATATTTTGCTTAATGTATATATATGAACAATATATAGTTATTTATTCTGACTTCATTTAAACCCATACCTTAGCACAATATTCAAGGGGGTGTAAATGTAATTGGGCCCATATAATTAATCATCACAAATGATATCAAACCTTAAAAGGAAAATCATACTTCCACATACCAGGGTTCTTCGCTGACTTTTACGCACATGTCTGATCTGAGACATCTTCAAAGCTATACAGCTATTTGTGACACCTCATAACTGCAGGCATGGCTCAACCGGGTAACTAACATTCCTAAATTTCTGGCTGTGCTTAACTTTGACAATCCCTACAGAGTTATGTTGTGTATTCACAGCTTGATGTACACGCCTCTCAGTCTGAACTGATGGAGTTCACCTGGATATGCCGGCGCTTACGACACACATGACGAAATGCCCGATTGGCCAAAATTCCTTTCTGAAATTCCTGGCGAGGACCCTGCATACTAGATAGGATATGCATCTACCATCTTATGAAATAGAATGATAGCATGCTGTAATTTACAGTAACATTTTACAAATTTTATCATGTTCAGCTTGACAACAGCTTGAAAATTGGTAAAATATTCTACATTAAATTCATGGTGCCTGTTTGAAATTGTTACCACTGCAAAAAGTTCAGTTGGCAACTCCACTAGGTCAAGTGTACAAGTGTACACACACAAGTAAAAAGAGTACTATCTTTTAATTATAAGTGCTACGAATATGCTTCATCCAGTGAGAGGGATTGCCAATCTTCACTTGACCATGATACATTTTTAGTAAAGGTTAGAAGTTTAGCATGAAGAAAGCATACACGGAGAGGAGGCCAATCAAGTTTGGCAGTGGATATTTAACCATATACGGCAGAGTATCCACTTCAGCTATTTTACCATACCACACATTTGATTGGCTAGTAAATTTTTTGAGGTCATCAACATTACGTTCGAATCCCATAAGGTTTAGCTATCTAAAACACTTCTAGGTTCAAATCCCATTTATTTCTACACATTTGTAACCCCGTTTGATCATAGAAGCTATTTTCCGTGAATCATGTTTCCAATATAAAACCTTTTGAACACATTCATAATATACTAACACATAAATATACTAGCCAATCAGAAGTACTGTACGATAAAATTTTGCGGAAGTGGATACTCTGCCGTATACGGTTAAATATCCACTGCGATCAAGTTGAGCCAAATCAACTTCATGCAATATGCATGTCCTAGTTAGTAGTAATTAATTTAAATTAACACCATTGACCTAGTAAGTAATCAAAGTATGCCCCTATGATGACAGTTACACACCTTCATTAGCAATGCTAATGCCACCGACTAGGAAATTAATTTCTGTACGCCACCATTTAACTCAGCGAGCTAAAAGAGTTGAGTGTTCAGCCTACTAGTGCTGAAGGGGTTGTTGTCGTATCAGGTACTACATATATGTACCCGAGGTACATAGATATATATGTAGTAATTTAGGGTTTAGGGTTTCCGTGTAGGGCCTAGAGTAGGCTGAACACTCAACTCTTTTAACTCCCTGTATGATGATATCTGCGATTATCCGTGCAATAAACTCTATTTGAATTTGAATTTTGAATTTTAATGACTAATGACGTATTGTGTAAGACCATCTCTAGAACAGACGCCTGAGACGGATCTCAAGAAGTACTACTACTAGGGGGCCTACTAGTACTAGTACTACTACTAGTACTAGTAGTAGGATGAAGGAACACTCAGACTAGCCCAAAAACGGTTTGCCTTGGTGACAGAAAAAGCGAACTTGGTCCGGAAAACTAAAATTCATCATACCGGGCAAAATTTCCCCATTTCGCACACATCTGGTTGTTACTGTATATCGTGTTCACTCATCACTGTACTGTGTACACTGTAGTGTAGGGCCTACTGCGACGTAAGCCATGTTTGATTGTTTCCAACTTCTAACAGCATATCAAACTTTAGTAGTTCAACTTAAATAATTTAATGTTTTTATTATCTTCTACCTACCGCCGTTTCTCTCTAACTAAAGTTGCCATTCCATGCACAACACGTTCACATCATAAACAGTTTTTAAAGTTTCAACATTCATATGTTTCTCTCCAGAATTAAATCATTCGTGGCTTTATTGAAGTTTCGCAAACAAGGTCACTTACGGGCAATGCGATCAAAGTAATGGAGCGCCATCTACTGGCTCATTGCGCCATGATTAGAGAGTCCTACGAAATCGCAGGACAATAACCTTATTATTTATTATTAACTTATTATTATTTATTGGTTATTGGGCTGAGATTTCTATGGACTACCCAAAGTTTCTACCATTAGAGAGAGGTGCTATTATACACAGCGTATGATATAGGATCTCTAGAGTTAACGTCTAATATTAGCCCTACCATTACTTCTAAAATTCCGACACGCACACGCACACGCACACGCACAAGCACACGCACGCGCCCAAGCACACGCACACGCACGCACGCACACACACACACACACACACACACACACACACACACACACACACACACACACACACGTGACGCATATACATACACAAGCTTACATACAAGGTCTTCCTCCTATTTCTTAAATGATGTCAACTGATGGAATGTTATCATATAAATCTATGCTAGGCCATCTATGCTATGCTATGCTATCTATGCTATGCTATGCTATGCTATGACTCTTCATTTTAAATGCATAATCTTTGCAAAATACGATTGCTCTCGGGAGATATTGCGCATGCGCGCGCACCGTGTTAGGCGTGCAGTGCCGTCTGAGGAAAACTCCATAATATAGCTTGCTGAGGGGGAGAGGGGATGGGAGACTGAGGAAAGGCGATAGGAAAGATAGCTGGGGGCGGTAGAAGACGGAGGCTGAGCGAGAGACAGCGGAAGCAAGGGGAAGAACGCGAGGGCATAAATTATGTGTTTTGTACCCTACATGCTACGCGCTTTCCTAATTATAAACACAGGTCTACTGATAGATGTTTATTAGAGAAATCTATGCTGAGATATCCCTTAACCATTTTAAATGCGTATTCATCACAAAATATAACTCCTCTGGTGAGATATTGCGCATGCGCTAACACACTAACGTAGCCAGATTGTGTACCGGCTGGTATAAACAGCGGGAACCTTACATACAAGGTCTTCTTGCGATTTCTTAAATGATGTCAACTGATAGAATGTTATCATATAAATCTATGCTAGGATAACTCCTCTTCATTTTAAATGCATTCCCTTTGCAAAATACGATTGCTCTCGGGAGATATTGCGCATGCGCGCGCACCGTGTTAGGCGTGCAGTGCCGTTTGAGGAAAACTTCATAATATAGCTTGCTGCGGGGGAGAGGGGATGAGAGACTGAGGAAAGGCGGCAGGGAAGATAGCTGTGGGCGGGAGAAGAAGAAGGAGGCTGAGCGAGGGACAGGGGAGGCAAGGGGATGGACGCGAGGGCATAAAGTAGGTGTTTTGTACCCTACATGCTAGGGCGCTCTCTTAATTATAAACACAGGTCTACCGATAAAAGTTTATTAGGGAAATCTATGCGGAGATATCCCCTAACCATTTTAAATGCGTATTCATCACAAAATATAACTCCTCTGGTGAGATATTGCGCATGCGCTAACACACTAACGTAGCCAGATTGTGTACTGGCTATAGTATGCGCAGCGGGGACCTTACATGCAAGGTCTTCCTCCTATTTCTTAAATTATGTCTACTGATGGAATGTTATTATATAAATCTATGCTATAGGATAACTCCTCTTCATTGTAAATGCATAATCTTTGCAAAATACGATTGCTCTCGTGAGATATTGCGCATGCGCGCGTACCGTGTTAGGCGTGCAGTGCTGTCTGAGGAAAACTTCATAATATAGCTTGCTGAGGGGGAGAGGGGATCGGAGACTGAAGAAAGGCGACAGGGAAGATAGCTGGGAGCGGTAGAAAAAGATGGAGGCTGAGCGAGGGACAGCGGAAGCAAGGTGAAGGACGCGAGGGCATAAACTAGGTGTTTTGTACCCTACATGCTAGGGAGCTTTCCTAATTATAAACACAGTTCTACTGATAAAAGTTTATTAGGGAAATCTATGCTGAGATATCCCCTAACCATTTTAAATGCATATTCATCACAACATATAACTTCTCTGGTGAGATATTGCGCATGCGCTAACACACTAACTTAGCCAGATAGTGTACTGGCTGGTATACGCAGCGGGAACCTTACATTTAAGGTCTTCCTCATATTTCTTATATGATGTCAACTGATGAAATGTTATTATAGAAATCTATGCTAGGATAACTTCTCTTCATTTTAAATGCATAATCTTTGCAAAATACGATTGCTCTCGTGAGATATTGCACATGCGCGCGCACCGTGTTAGGCGTGCAGTGCCGTCTGAGGAAAACTTCATAATATAGCTTGCTGAGGGGGGTAGGGGATGGGATACTGAGGAAATGTGACAGGGAAGATAGCTGGGGGCGATAGAAAGAGAAGGAGGTTGAGCGAGGGACAGCGGAAGCAAAGGGAAGGACGCGAGGGCATAAAGTAGGTGTTTTGCACCCTACATACTAGGGCGCTTTCCTAATTATAAACACAGAGTTTATTAGGGAAATCTATGCTGAGATATCCCCTAACCATTTAAATGAATATTCATTACAACATATAACTCCTCTGGTAAGATTGCGCATGCGCTAACACACTAACTTAGCCAGATTGTGTACTGGCTGGTATACGCAGCGGGAACCTTACATACAAGGTCTTCCTGCGATTTCTTAAATGATGTCAACTGATAGAATGTTATCATATAAATCTATGATAGGATAACTCCTCTTCATTTTAAATGCATAATCTTTGCAAAATACGATTGCTCTCGGGAGATATTGCGCATGCGCGCGCACCGTGTTAGGCGTGCAGTGCCGTCTGAGGAAAACTTAAATGCATAATCTTTGCAAAATACGATTGCTCTCGGGAGATATTGCGCATGCGCGCGCACCGTGTTAGGCGTGCAGTGCCGTCTGAGGAAAACTTCATAATATAGCTTGCTGCGGGGGAGAGGGGATGGGAGACTGAGGAAAGGCGGCAGGGAAGATAGCTGGGGGCGGTAGAAGAAGAAGGAGGCTGAGCGAGGGACAAGGGAGGCAAGGGGATGGACGCGAGGGCATAATGTAGGTGTTTTGTACCCTACATGCTAGGGCGCTCTCTTAATTATAAACACAGGTCTACTGATAAAAGTTTATTAGGGAAATCTATGCGGAGATAGCCCTAACCATTCTAAATGCATATTCATCACAAAATATACCTCCTCTGGTGAGATATTGCGCATGCGCTAACACACTAACGTAGCCAGATTGTTTACTGGCTGGTATGCGCAGCGGGGACCTTACATGCAAGGTCTTCCTCCTATTTCTTAAATGATGTCTACTGATGAAATGTTATCATATAAATCTATGCTAGAATAACTCTTCTTCATTTCAAATGCATAATCTTTGCAAAATACGATTGCTCTCGGGAGATATTGCGCATGCGCGCACCGTGTTAGGCGTGCAGTGCCGCCTGAGGAAAACTTCATAATATAGCTTGCTGAGGGGGAGAGGGGATGGGAGACTTAGGAAAGGCAACAGGGAAGATAGCTGGGGGCGGTAGAAGAAGGAGGCTGAGCGAGGGACAGCGGAAGCAAGGGAAAGGACGCGAGGGCATAAAGTAGGTGTCATGTACCCTACATACTAGGGCGCTTTCCTAATTATAAACACAGGTCTACGAATAAAAGTTTATTAGGGAAATCTATGCTGAGATATCCCCAAATCATTTTAAATGCATATTCATCACAACATATAACTTCTCTGGTGAGATATTGCGCATCCGCTAACACACTAACTTAGCCAGATTGTGTACTGGCTGGTATACGCAGCGGCAACCTTACATGCAAGGTCTTCCTGCGATTTCTTAAATGATGTAACTGATAGAATGTTATATCTATGTAGGTTAATCGTGTTGTATTGAAATGAGTTGAACTATTTTGATTTGTATTGCAATCGTATTCAGTATTCATATATATTGTTGATAAAATGTTTATCAAGTATTTGTTATGGTTGTCTTTCGCTCCTGTAATAAGCATTAAATAAATAAAAATAAAAATAAACAAACAAAAAAGTAATAAAAACAAATACAAAATCAAAACACCTGTATATTTAATAATCATCATAGTTGTAGGACGCTCTGTCTCGTCTCACCCCAGGATACCTAACCAACTTCCTCCCACCTTGCTACCACTACAAGCAGGGATTTTCACTCGCGTCTCATACTTACGTGCTGATACACAACACATTGGCCTACCCGAAACACAACACAAATCTAAAATATTTTGAATCCAAGTCTTAAAATAACGAAACGAAACGAAGAATGTCAAAAGCGCAAAAGAGGAAAATTCTTCATAAACTAACAATTTGTGTGAGTTTTATGAACAAAACTACTGTGATTCACTTGCCTTCGATCAAGTGGAAGGCATGGTACTGCCCTGTACTGCCGTGTACTGCAGTGTACTGCTGTGTACTGCCCTCTATAGGCATATAGGAGCTTTATCTGAGCACTGTCCCATCTTACCCGATGTCCCGGGGGGTGGGCATTCCCATTGTTAAAGGTACTGGGGACGTGCCGCTGGACAGGGTATATTTTCCGAACATCATTATTGGCACAGGGTATATTTTCCGAACATTATTATTTGCCCAGGGTATATTTTCCGAACATCATTATTGGCACAGGGTATATTTTCCGAACATCATTACTGGCACAGGGTTATCTAGATACACACCCATCGAGCTGATATTGGCCTATAATATTGGCAAAACAATGTTGGGCCAATATCACCAGGCCAATATTGGACCAATATAGGCAGATATTGGTTCAATATAGGCGGATATTGGTCCAATATCGGCCCAATAATGACAAAACTATAGCCAGGCCGATATTGGACCAATATCTGCCTATATTGACAGGAGGACAAGACATAACCGAAGTGTGCAATATTGCACTTTTCAGTGCAGTATATTGGGACAGGGTGTATTTTAGGGCGCAAAGCGGTTTACGACAGGTTCAGGTTTTCAAGGTTCTCGAGGCACCCCCTACCCAGTTCCGATGCGAGTGCCCCCCCCCCCGGGCC